ATCCATGGCCCGAGCAAAATCACGTTCAGTTCTTTGACCTTCTAACCATTTTGGGTAAATATTTTCCTAAAGACGCTATTATTATTATTATTATTATTATTATTTTGGTAACTGGGAATTAGAGGTTTGCTCCCCTATATTCACCGGCAACTATGCCTCTTTTTTTTTTTTAACAAGATACGAACTTCTCATTATTTCAATGAGAAGGAAAAAAATTGTTCAAAGATACAAACTCACGAAAGAGTGAAAAAACTAAAACATAAAAGAAGTATTATAGAAAGTACTATAGAGATGCCACAAAAACACCCCAATTTGAATTAATCAAACTAGGAGAATAAGATTTAAAGAGAGGGGATAAGGAACTCCATTGAGAGGCCTTGAATCTAGCAATGTCGAAACAAGCTGATGGAGACTGTCGCTTTTCTTCAAAAATTCTAGGATTCCTTTCATACCACACCTCATATACCACTGCCTTCACTGGAACCACTGCTTGCAGTATACAACCTTTTGAAGAAGGTGAAAATTTCTTCTTCAATATCCATCTGATTGATTAGCGTCTGACCATCCTCATTGATCGATTCAGAAATAATCGATTTTCCCTTGCGAGCTGCTAAGTACTTGTGGAAGAAACTAGAGTTTTCATCGCCCTCCCTTAGCCATTTAATCTTACTTTTTTGGAACAAGTTCCTTTCGGCATCCACATAAAGTTTCAACAGATCCACTTGGAGCTCGTTTCTCTTTTATGCTTCCTCATTAGATAATCCACAAACTTCTTCTTTGGAATCCAGTGATGAGATTTGCTGCAAAATTCTTGTCTCTGACTCCTTTTTGCCTTTTTCATTCTGCAAATGCCAACTACGAAGTGCAGATTTCAGATTCCTTAGCTTAGAATTCAGAGAGTAACCTGCCCAACCATAGGATTGATCATTAGCTAACTTAGATTCAATAAGGCCGATACAATCTTTGTTAGACAACCACGAATTAAAGAACCGAAAGGGACTGGGGCCCCATTGGAAATCACCAGCCTCCAAAATGATAGGAAAGTGATCTGAGGTAGTTCTTTCAGCACAAGGCGCCTTGGAATTGGAAAAGGCACTCTCCCATCCGCTGGATATCAAAAACCTGTCCAATAAAGAATGCTTGGACTGAGCTCCAGGCTTAGACCACGTATATTTGCCATTAACTAAGGGAATCTCTATCAAATCCAGCTCCTGAATCAGCATATTAAACTTCTTCATTGCTTTAGATGATCTTGTACATGATGATCTTTCAGAAGGCCACCGGATAACGTTGAAATCGCCACCAATGCACCAGCAATTTTCAGATAGCGTCGAAATATCACGGAGTTCCTGGAGAAAAAACTTCCTTTCCCTGTAATCTGTCGGACCATAAACTGAAGTAAGCCAAGATGAGGATTGATAACGTATGCCCCCCTTTAATGACTTCTTTTACACAAATACAGCCTTCATCCCACATCATTAGAATTCCTCAATGGTTGACCATCCTATGTCTTTAGAACTCCATAGAGACTTAATCATGGACGGATCGAACCGTTGAATCTTCGTTTCTTGTAGGCATACCATGTCAGGGCAATGATTCTGGACAAAATTCTTAATCTTCAGCCTCTTCTCGTCCTTGCACAAGCCTTTGATATTCCATGACACGATCTTCATTATGAATCAGAGATAGGAATCAAATTGATACTTGCCTCTTTAAAGAAAGAAGGAATTAAAATCGACTCCTCTTTTCCTTTTTCTTCTGCAAACAATATCTTTAAATCTGCCTCTAGAGATTGTTCACATAGAACTTCATCTGGTGCATTGACAGAATTAGCAACTGGTGATGAATCCGGACCACTAATGTTGAGATCTGAATCGTCATCATCAAGAGCCACTTCATAAGGGGCAGCCGAGGAGGTTCTTTTGGTAGAATTAATAATTCCTTGTGATAGAGAGGGTGGTAATTGAATGCTTGGATTCATTTTGGAACCCAAAGCGTCACTTGAAGGAGGACATACTCTTTCATCATTAAATGCAGAGATTAAATTAACTCTTACTTCTTCAGCCATGACAACCTTTCTCGAATCATTAATGGCCACTCTTTTCTCCCTGCTTCTTGAATAAAAAGCGGGAAAGGAGCTACACGGCCGTTTGACTTCTTTGTTTCTTTGGGGAAAGAGGACCCTTTAATTATCTTTGGCGGCTCATTTGGGCCTTCCAAACAATCTAAGACTCTCAAGCTTCCATTATTAATATTCAGCTGACGAGGAGATGCCGACTTTTGAGCTTCCTTGTTTAAATCCTCACCATTAATGTCCAGTTGGCCTAGGGGTTGAGAAAGCATGCATTCTTTATTGGGAAGATCGATCGCTTCGTTCTCATGATCCGAGAAAAATACCCTTGTTTCAGTAAATATCAAAACCTTTTGGAAAAGACCTTTCAAGTTCCATTACCGTTTGAAATCTGGCACGATCCAAGGGGTTCGAAGATGTTCCCAATTCCACCAAAGAGTCTCGAAAATGTGGATATTTTGAAGGATTACAGTCCGAAATACGAACTGTAAATGGCCCCAATGCCTTATGACTTATCTTTACTACCACAAGTAAGAATCCGCAGAGATTCTGATTCACACAAATTACCGCTTCAAAGGCATCAAATAGATTCAGTGTTTTAGTTGAAACTTTAACTAAACCACCACAATACTTTCCAATTGCTTCGAAGCAATCTCTATCCCAGAACATAAGTGGAAGATCATGAATTGTAATCCATCCTCCATAACTCTTAATAAACTCCTTTTTACCGTGACTTGCTGGATTCCATAACTCAAGGCCTGGACCCGAGAGACATCAAATATTTTTGGTATTAAGCTCACCGGAAGGTTTGAACTTGAGACCTCCAAGTCGTTAGGACTAAGAGACCTCAAACCCTTGCCTACAAGACTGGTCCTTGTGAGCCTAAAGATGCTATTATTGACATGCAGGGGAGGAGGGAGTGAAGTTTTGGGAATTGAACCGATGGCAAGAATATGAATCATCGCCATATCCACCAAACATTTTAACGAACAGGCAATAGGTGAAGAGAGATATCATTTTGGCAGAGGAAGTGGACAGCACGTGTTGGGAATCGAAGATGAAGAGAGGGAAGAATATTGGAAAAGGAGGAGAGAAGAAGGACTAAGGAAGAGAGAGAAAGAGGGAAAAAAGAAGAAGAGAAAAAAAGGAAAAGTAATCATTTCAAATAATATTAAATTAATAAATATCCAACTCACCAATGTCACGTCAGTATTCTGTTAGTGACACTAACGGAAGTTTGACACCAGGACCTTTTAGAACTATTTTTTAAAAGTTGAGGACCAGACTGTTAGTTTTTGAAACTTAAGATCAAATAGAAACCTATCATCAAACTCAGAGACTAAGAATCTATTTTATCCTATAAAATACCAAGATGTTTAGAATCAGAATTAGATCCTACCATTGAAGTTACCAACTGCTTGGAGAAGATTTGATCCTAATTTAAGCATACAAGCTATATTTGTTGGAAGCTGTGGTCCAGTATCCTTAAAAGAGAATGAAGTCGGAAGATTCAATTTATGTATATAGAAAAGTATCTTACAAATCGTATTCTGAGTGCATCTGAACGAACCGTGTATCCGGTGTTTGTCCTACCGTTGACTCCCCTCCCATTGACAAGAAAGCTACAGATATAAAAATGAATAATTCATTATAGCATAGGATAGATATAATTGAAATCAATCCCATCTTAGGGGGGAGTATTAGACATACTTAACCTGTGGAGGAGTGATTAAACATGCAGACGTCTCAATATTATCTTTTTGAACAACAAATAGTAGCTGCAATGAGAGATCAATTTGCAAATACACAATCTGAGATGAAGAATACTTGTTTAAATACATTTATAGGGAATAACAATAAGAATTTTTTGAAGTTTGATGGAGTTATTTATCACGTATTTATATAAACAAGCAATATTGGCCCCTAGCCTTTTCTATTTTCATCCTACAAAAGGGTAATACATGGTTACATCCATTATGCCAATCCCACAAACTCTAATGGCTTGAAGTGAATAGCTAAACACATAAACCAAACTAGATGCTTCATAAAACTGATCACAAGCTACTATAATTTATTCATTGGGTCTATCTAGACTGCACTCTTCCTCTTCTCTTTTAAGTTGTTCTCGGCAATTTGGAAGTTCAAGAGTCCCAAGCTAACAAACTTTCTAATCTGGATTTTGTTAACAGAAGCCTAAACACAGCTGAAGTTTTGCAAAAGAAGCTTCCTAATTCCTTTCTAATGCCATCCGTTTGCTTAATGTGTGTTGAGGATGCAGAGGTGCAGATCATTTGTTTTTTGGTTGACCCTTTGCTATCGCATGTTGGTTCCGTCTATTCCAAATATTTAATTTGCAGTGGGTCTTTAAATATTCAAGAAGCAATCTTCATCATCTCCTGTATGGTCCTTTGCCTCCTAGATCCCATTTGATATGGGTTAATGCCATCGAAAAACCACCATCTCCAAGATTTGGTTCAAGACTTCAAGTGTAACCTAAGGGTTGATGAGAATAAGCATGGGTGTTGGTTAGGGTGGTTTGATATTTCCGGATTCATAATTTCTCCATGGTGTTCCTTTTCTAAATTATTTGTTGATTTTTCTTTCCAGGACGTTTGTACTGATCGGGGTGCTTTCACGAGGCATAGTTAGCTTGTACCTTTCTCTTTTCTTTTTTTTTCACTCTCTTTTGGGTTTGTAACTCTAAGAATTTGTTTCTTTTAATAAAATCAATGAAACGTCTTATGTTTTTAATAACAACAAAAGCATCAAAACATATAAATTTAAGACCTCTAAGTCATCATCTTATTAAAGTCTAATACATTATTACATTATTACATCTGTAAGACCAATTCCAAATTGTGAAAAACTTGAACTGGATAATCAAACATATAAACCTAACCTAGTACTCTGCAAAACTGATCGCATAATACATTTTTGGGTAAGAAACAGGTATTTTCATTGATATTTTAACTTGAATTGAATAATGATCGTATAAGCTAAGTCAAATGGGATATTAAGGTATCCAAGAGCCTCTGAAAAACACGGAACTTACTATTTTCTCCTGTTGTGAATATTGTGTTGTCTTTGAAATATTGAAATCAGTGGCAAATACTCCATATCCAGGCTAGAACAGGGAAAACATAAATGACATGAGAATATATCCAGGTAATAAATTTAAAATTTAAAAAGAATTTTTTAAAAAAGTGGAAAAAGTTCAGCAGAGAGACAAGTAACCACCTTAACTTCCACAGATGCAATAATCTGACCCAGCTTCATTCGAGGAAAAAATCTGGGTACACATGCAAATAGAAAGTAAGAAGACTAAAATAATCAATTCAAATCCTGCATTCTCAAGAAACTGTTGGGAATGATAGTGGAAGTATATAAATAATTAAATGGTAAGTCTGTAAGCGAATAATGGTTATAAATAACATGGGTTAGGAAAGTGTGGGAAGCATATTTTGGAAGTCTTGGGGGAGAAATGAGCCTCTCTAGTATTTGGCAAGCCTTTGCATTTCACTTTGACAACACAATACATCCAACCCCTATATTATTGATTTCTATCTTAAGTTTAGTTTCCTATTAAATTATTACCAGAGCATTTATTTCTTGGGAATTGATTCAAAGCCTGTAAGAATATTACTAAAAAATGAGAAATATTAAGGAGGAGAATTCAAGCCTGTAAGAATTTTTTTTATAGATAAGAATTCAAGCCTGTAAGAATAAAGCTACTTTTGGTTTCATAAGAACTCAAAAGGACAACTTGATTAGAGAAATATGCCAGCTTGATTGTTGGGAACAAAGGATGGGCTTATCTGAATTTTAGTTTAACAGAAGAGCTCTTTTGAAGGTTCAGCTGGAGGATCTAGTCCTGAAAGAAGATAGGAAGTGGAGGTAGAAGTGCAGAGCTGCTTGGCTAAAGGAGGGTGATGAAAATTCCAAGCTCTTCCACAGATATGCGACTGCTAAAATGAAGAAGAATTTGACCACCAAAATTCAAAACAAAAACGGGGTTAGTTTGCTGGAAGAAAAAGAAATTGTGGATCCATTTGTTTCCTTTTATAAGAAGTTGTATTCTAGAAGATTGTAAGGTATCTCCTCACAATTTCTATTACTTTGATAGGAAAATAAAGGCCGAAGGCGATACAAAAGCCAACCCACCAATTCAAGAGGGTGGGGAACCTCTCCTAGCTTCACTATTAAGCCAAAAGTACTGAAATACAAGATGATCCTTCCCTCACAACATTCCCTTCCTTATATGCCTACTCACTCCCCTTACTAACAGCTAGAATTTTCTCTCTCTTGGCCGTTATACTTATGGCCTAACATCCCTCAAATCCCCATTTTACCCTTCCTACTATACATCTTCATGATTGGGGGTCTAACAAAGATCTGACCATTGCTATTGCCCTGGCAACATAAACTGGAAGTCCTTGCCCAGGAACTTAGTGAGAAGTTGGAAGACACTTTAATAGAGGAAGAAATTAGATCAACAACTGAAGACATGGGAGCTGACAAAGCCCCTGGCCCCGACAGGTTTACTCGTGAATTTTTGAAAAAGTTGTGGAACATCATTAAAGAAGACGTGCTTGGGGTGTTCCAAGACTTTTTCGAAAGTGGCACTGTCAACTCATGCGTGAATGAGATGCCTAATTCCCAAAAAATCAAGGGCAACAAGCCACTACAAAATCGTGGCAAAAGTCCTTGCTAGGAGATTAAGAGGAGTCTTGGATTGGACAGCAGGCAAGAATCAATCAGCCTTCATACATGGAAGACAAATCATGGAACCAATCCTTGTGGCAAATGAACTTGTCAATGAATAGAAAGTCAAGAAAAAATGTTGGATTATCAAATTAGATTTTGAGAAAGCCTATGATATGGTTAACTGGGATTTTCTCTTAGAAGTGCTCCATAGGAAAGGCTTTGGGAGAGATTGCGTCTCTAATACGTCCTTCTCCATCCTGATCAATGCAAGACCACGCTGGCGTATCAAAGCTTCAAGGCTTCAAGGTGTTATGTCAAGGTGACCAGCTGGCACCTTTTCTTTTTGTACTTGTAGCTGATGTTCTAAGTAGCATGCTTGATAGAGGTGTGATGGAAGGCTGTCTTGAAGGCTTTACAGTGGGTTTGGATGGGACTCATATTAATCACCACAAATTTGCGGATGACACTGTAATTTTCTCTCAAGACGACAACAATCTCCTCTAAAACTTTAAGCACATGGTGTGCTGTTTTGAAGCTATTTCAGGCTTTAATATTAATTTGGCCGTGTCTCAAGTGGCAGGATCGAATGTTTCAAAAGAAGAATTGGCTTCCACGTTCACCTTTGGAGTTGTGAAATAGGGTCTTGGCCTTTGATCTATCTGGGCATGCCTCTCGGAGGTAAGGCAAATAAGAAATTTTTGGCAGCCACAGCCTATTCAAGATAAAGTGGAAATAAAGTTGGCAAAGTGGAACTACCTTTGTCTTCTAGAGAAGGAAGGCTCACCTTCGCGAAGTATGTGATTTCAAGTATACCACTGTATTACTTTTCTATTTTCAAATGCCCTAAGCAAATCATAGTGAGGTTGGAGAAGTTGATCAAGGATTTCTTATGGAAAACCAATAAGGAGGGCAGAGGTCCGAATCCTATACAATGGGAGATGGTTGCCAAGTATGAGGCTATGGGGGCATTAGGTTTAGGTAACTTGGCTAGTAAAAACTGTGCTTTACCTGCAAAATGGAACTGGAGGTTTGTGGCTGAAATCGAAGCTCTTTTGGAGATAGGTGATCACGAGAAAATATCATCGATATGCAATGGTGGCCAGCAGTTAAAGGAACAACAAAGTCTAAGGGTCCCTGGTTTAGTATCCATTTGTGTTGCAAGGCAGTGGTGATGTTTGGTATAAAACTAAGGTGGGCAAATTCAAAGCAGTTTACAGTAGATAAATGCTAGTCAGAAGCTAGTAGAGGCTGGGATTTGCTTTTTAGAAGAAATTTATCAGACCTGGAAGTTGAATAATGGGCAGGGATGACAAATTTACTCACTAGATTCTCTCTCTCAGAAGTAGTTGTGTTTTCTCGGTCAAATCTCTCATGGGCAGCCTCATACAGCAGAACTCAAATGCTAGACATTTCAAGGGAAGTTTTATTTAGCAGCTGGAGGTTTCCAAAAATGTTAGAATTTGTCTATGGATCCTGATTCATGAGAGGCTAAATACTTGCTGCAGACTTCAGATGCCCCATATGTGCCTATCACCTAGTTGGTTGTGCAAAAATAGTGAAGAAGACCAATGGTACTTGTTTTTTCAATTGCACATTTGCGACAGCCTGCTGGATGGATCTATTCAGACTTTTCAACATGAGCTCATCAAAGGGACAGACTCTAAAAGTCGCGCAAACCTTCTTTGGTCCAATAGGATAGCTGGTTTGGTGTGGAGACTCTGGTTTGAGAGTAACAAAAAGACTTTCCTGAGACAAGAATCAGATAGAAGAGTTTTTCAGGAGAACGTTAGAATTTTTGTGTCTTTATGGACATCTAGTAACAAAGCTTTTTGAAATTATGGTGTCTCTCAAATTTTTGCCAACAGGGAAGCTCTTTTGTAACCTCTTGGCTAGTGGGGATATCTCATCTCCCCTTTTTGTGTATATACCTTTTTGATAATGAAAGTTAAGTTTCTTATAAAAAAAATAAATAATAAATAAAGAGGAGATGATAAGTGAGTTTGTAGTAGTAAGATTCAATAAGGAGACTAAATTGAGACTCGAGGCTATGGAAGAGAGGCGAAGGCAGTGGGAAGCTATCCAAGTTCATCAAAAAGGCAATTGAATTGGAGGGGTGAAATAAAATTGAAGAAAATAAAAGGAAGGAAGACAGAAGATGAATTAGTCGAACTCAAACCCGATACAAATCTAGCCACAAACTCATGTACCAAGGGGGAGGAATGTGCAACGTCAAAGAGGCTAGTAAACGTTGGCAAAGACGGGAGTGAAAGATGGGGAAACCAAACTGGGATCTAGTCAGAATAATAATCAATCATAATGCATTCAGTCGAGAAAAACCAAACTCATACAGATAAACTGAGGGCTCACAATCCATACACTTGTTGGAAGAATAGTGAGTACAAGGATGAGATTGATAAGAGGGTGTGGCTTTTGGAGCCTAATGTTAGTTTTTGGGTAAAATCTTTAGATCTTAAACTGATCTACAATGGAAATGTTTTGGAAAAAGAATTGTGCTCTACAATTTAAAAAGAAACTTGTCCAAAAAGGGTTAAATGTTTAATGTGGCCAGCATATCTTGAGACAAAGATGTCCGACTTGAATGCTGAATCCTTTCTTTCATGTTCAGTAAGCAGAAAGATTTGGCTTTGCTACAAGGTTTTGGGTTCTCATGGCTTTTTCATAGTTCATTAAAGGCAAATATGGAGTAGTTGCTTTGTAGAATACGTTTGAAGGGAGACTTGAGAAGCTGTGTGTTAATGCTGTAAAATATTTTCTATTGAATATAATTGGTTGGAAAGGAATTATAGGTTTATTTAATGAGGTCTCCGGGGATTTGGTATAGGCATTAGAAAGCTTCAAAGTAAATTGTTCATGTTGGGTATTTTTAGAAAAATAGCTCTTTTGTTATTCATATTCTATCCTTAGTTCCAGCTGGGAAAGGTTTCTTTGTTTTGGGATTGTGAGATAAGTGGGGAGGTTTTATTGAACTTAGTAACTTTTCATTATATCAATGAAAATTGTCCTTTTTTCAGAAAGAAGATGAAAGAAAACAGAATGCAGATAAATCAAGAAAGAAATTCACACCTTTCCATAACAGTAGTAATCGTGGTAAGGGAATTGGTTTGTCCAGTATTCACATCTCCAAAGAAATCACTACCAATCTACATAGCATAATAATATCTCGGCAACATAAAAATATTAAGAATCCATAAAATACACAAACTTCTATCAAGGGAACAAGTCAATACTACTTTTAGAAAAATAAAAAGAACCTCATTAGCAAGACTGTAGAGTTCCTCTGCTTCCTTTTCCGAAAACCATCTCATCTTGCAAGCACTCTACTATGCAGAATATAGAAGAAAGCTGAGATATTTGTAACCAGATAACATTCCAAGATGATTTCTACTCAACAAAAATGAAGCCAACTGACTCAAACCACAGTGTTAACAAACAAAACGGAAAAGGAAACTTCCTCATGCGAACAAAGTTTTTAAATCCAGATGTAAAAAACAAAACTCTGCATTTTCTGCATCGCTGCATCAGCGTGACAAATGTTTCCAATAAATATATTTATTTTCTTTTTCTTTTTGATGTAAAGTCAGTAGCGGAAACTTTTATTCAATCTTTGAATGAATCCTTTCAAATACAAAAGAGTTGGCTTTTATAGATAACCAACCTAACTAACTAATCTACCCAACGGCTAAATATGAAACTAACAGTCTAATGGCTAACTAATACTAAAGCCTACATCATATTCCCTCCTCCTTAAAAGAAAACTCAACCACGAGTTTATGTAGCTATTTGGAAGGAGTCTGCCGCTTGGTACTCATAGATGTCGGATACGTTGAATATGGGGTTTATGCGCAGATCAGTTGGAAGATTGATCTTATAAGCATTAGCACCATATTTCTGTAAGATTTCAAATGGTCCAATCTTCTTATTATGAAGTTTATGATATGTTCCGGTAGGAAATCTGGACTTCCATAGGTAAACCATCACCAAATTCGCAACTTTGAAGTGCTTCTCTCGGCGATGACTATCTGCATGTATCTGCATGTTCTTTGTAAGTTGCTGTAGCTTGTAGTAAGTTGTCTGTGACCTCTTTATGCAACTCTACTATCCTTTCAGCCATGTGTTCAGCTTCCTGATTAAAGTCAACATTAGAAGGAATATTAAGAAGGAATATTAGCGAGGTCCACAGTAAGTCTAGGGAGTTTAGTGTATACAACTTTAAAGGGGGACTTCCCTGTGGAACGATTGCGCAAGTGGTTGTAGGCGAATTCGGCTTGAGCAAGTGTGAGGTCCCATTGCTTCGGTTTTGTCCCACCAAGACAGCGTATAAGATTCCCGAGTGTGCGGTTAGTAACTTCAGTTTGGCCATCTATTTGAGGATGGTTGGTCGTGCTGTACTTCAACCCGGTATCAAATTTCTTCCACAAGGTTTTCCAAAAATAACTCAAGAATTTTAATTTCACATCTCTGTCAGAGACAATGGTCTTTGGTATACCATGGAGTCACACAATCTCTCGGAAAAAAAGATTGGCAACATAGATGGCATCGGAAGTCTTTTTGCAAGGTAAAAAATGAGACATTTTGCTAAAACGGTCGACCACGACTAAAACTGAATCATAACCTCGCTGTGTCTTTGGCAATCCTAGAACAAAGTCCATCGACAAATTTTCCCAAATAAAACATTTAGAAGCAAAGTTATACACATCTTTCCTTAGTTGAGGCCAATAGAACCGAGCAGCCACGATGTCCAACGTTTTATCACGTCCCAGATGGCCTGCCAAGCCGCCACTGTGCAAGTCCCGAATCAAGGATTCCCGTAAAGAAGTATGGGGAATGCACAGTCGGTCTCCTTTAAACAGGTAACCATCAAGGAGGTGAAAGTCATTGCAATTGACATGTTGGTTGCATTGTTGCCAAATGGTGTGGAAGTCACTGTCATTCTCATATGCTGTAGGGAGGTTGTCAAAAGCAATCACTTGGCCGAATAAAAGAGTTAGAAGGCTTGCTTTACGGCTTAAAGCATCAGCTACTTGTCCCTGCTTTATGCTTAATGACAAAGTCAAACTATTGTAAGAAAGAAACCCAACGAGCATGCATCCTATTAATGGTTTTCTGAGTTTGAATGTACTTAAGGGAAAAGTGGTCGGTGAAGAGAATGAATTCACGGCCGATGAGGTAGTGCTCCCATTGTTTAAGGGCTCTTATTAAGGCATATAGTTCTTGTTCGTAGGTGCACCATTTTTGCCTAGGAGGTATGAGTTTTTCACTAAAATATTCTAATGGGTGACCATTATGGGAAAGAACCGCACCTATACCTATCCCCGAAGCATCTATGGCCACTTCAAACGGTTGAGAAAAGTCAGGAAGACCTAGAACAGGTGTGTTACTGAGGTGCATCCCAAAAAAATTTTCCTTTTTTAGACAATCCGTTAGTCGTGCTGCCACTGTACTAAAATGTTGTATAAACTTTCTATAGAATGACGCTAGACCTAAGAAACACTGGATGTCTCTAATAGAGGTAGGGGTAGGCCAATTTTGGATTGCAGAAATTTTAGATGGGTCGACAGAAATGCCAAATTGGTTTATATAAAAACCTAAGAATGCTATTTCAGTTGTCATGAAGGAGCACTTAGCTAGGTTGACATAGAGCTTATTGTTATGTAATGTCTCAATCAAAATGCGAAGATGCAAGATATGATCATCACAGGTTTTGCTATAAACAAGTATGTCATCAAAGTATACAACAATAAAGGTGTTAAGAAAAGGTTGCAAAACCTAGTGCATAATGCGCATAAATGTACTTGGCGCGTTGGATAGTCCAAATGGCATGACCAGCCATTCAAAAAGACCCGTATTGGTCTTGAATGCTGTTTTCCACTCGTCTCCAGGCCGGATTCGAATTTGGTGGTAACCGCTCTTTAGATCTATTTTGGAGAAGAAACGTCTGCCATGTAATTGATTTAACTGATCAGATAAACAAGGGATCGGAAAACGGTATTTGATTGTGATCTTATTGATTGCCCAACTGTCCACACACATGCGCCATGATCCGTCCTTCTTTGGTGCGAGCAACATAGGAACGGCACAAGGACTGATGCTTGACCGAATATATCCTTTATCCAAAAGATCTTGTATCTGTTGGTGCAGAATTTGATATTCAGCAGGACTCATTCTGTAGTGGGGAAGATGAGGCAAAGATGAACCGGGCATAAGGTCTATACAATGCTGAATATCGCGCAAAGGTGGTAGTCCTATGGGTTCTTCTGTTATTTCATGAAATTCTTGGAGTAATTGGGAAATAGCAGGGTGTGTGGGAGGAGGAGAAGATGGGGTGGAATCTCCCTTAGCAACGATGGCAAGGAGAAGGGATTCATCCTTTTGTACGAATGATTTGCCCGGAAATAAGGAGAAAAGTTGTTTGGATGGAGAAGGATTATCCTTTCTCTGTTTATTATCTAAGACCGTTAGTAGAAGAACAATCTTTCTTCCCATCCAACTAAATTCATACGTGTTTTCACGGCCCCGATGTATAGCTTGGAGATCATACTGCCAGGGTCGGCCTAGCAGGATGTGGCACGCATCCATATCCAAGATGTCACATATAACTTGGTCTTTATATTGGTTCCCAATGGAGAGCGAGACCGTACAAACTGATTGAACTTGGACCTCGCCTCCTTTGCGTATCCACGAAACCTTGTAAGGCTGTGGGTGAGGATCAGTTTTCAAATTAAGGGCAGTGACCAACTTCTGGGAAACCATGTTTTCGCTACTCCCGCTGTCAACGATAACATTGCAGATTTTACCATTGATTGTGCAGCGAGTGCGAAAAAGGGAATGGCGTTGATTAATAACATCAACCTTTGGAGTAAGGACTCGTTGGATGACACAGTTAACAGGATCCCCTTCATCGGGCTCAACATAGGCCGTGTCATCATCGGCAATAACCTCTTCATCAGGATCGTAATGACCTTCTTCATCCACTAAGGCAAGGGCACGCCGCTGAGGGCAATCGTTAGATAAATGGCCCACTGGCCACATCTAAAACACTTGCCAATAGTAGGCCGAGCATACGGATTGGCGCCCTTTTTAATGGCTGTCTCTGCAGATTTGGTAGGAGGCTTAACGGTGTCATCAATGGCTTTAGGTGCTGTGGATGTAGAAGCTCCTCCAGTTTTCCCTGCATCAAAAGAAGGGAATTTAGAACTTACAGGTTTGTCCCAGAGCGTACGTCTTATAGGGTTATTGAGCCGTTTCTTATCAATCTTATCCTCAATCTTTGTAGCCATGGTGATGGCATCAGTAAGGAATCCAATCGACTGAATATCCATTTGATCTTGTATATCTTCGCGAAGACCATCAACAAATCTGGCAATCTTATAATCCTCTGATTTGGTTAAGTTCGTTCGGGCTCCTAATCGATGGAATTCCTCCGTATACTCAGCCATATTCTTGGACCCTTGCCGACACCGTTGATATTGTTGGTACAAGAGCTGCTCAAAATTGGCGGGAAGAAAACGTTCTCGCATCAAACGAAGCATTCGTGGCCAGCTGCAAATAGGACGCTTCCCTTGACGGCGACGGCTAATTTCCAATTGATCCCACCAAGCCGAAGCGTCAGACTTGAGTTTGAAGGCGACCAAACAAACTTTCTTATCTTCCGGAGTATTTGTATAATCAAAGAAGTTTTCGACATTCTTGATCCAGTCCAAGAATGCTTCAACATCCATTTTCCCACAAAAAGTAGGCAAATCGATTTTCAGTCTGTGCGAATACCCCCTCTATTCTTGAAGTCACAAAGGTCGAAGCGAGGGTTTCCACGAAGAAAATCTTCTTCTTCGCCTGAAGAATCTGAATCTTGAAGTCTCACTTGCAGCTCGTGATGTCGTCGACCCCGTCCGTCAGCATTTATTGCAATAATTGGTGAAGGCGATCGGTTTCTTGGCTGGTGTACACGTTCTTGATGACCACCGCGGTCGCCTAGATCGTCACGCAGCCGTTCCTGCTCGATTGCTATGTTCTCCAAATGTTTGGAAAAGATTCTCCATTAACCCGTGAATTGTTTGTACATTGGAACGTACCTCACCTAAGGAATCTTCCACTAGCAGTAAACGCTCAGTGGCGGATTTAGGTGACAAAGGTTGGTTTGTTGAAGGATCCGCTGTGGGTCCTCTGTCGGAAGTTGCCGCGTTCTTCCCGGCCATCAGGTCCTAGGTTTCAAATAGGGCTCTGATACCAATTTGATGTAAAGTCAGTGGCGGAAACTTTTATTCAATCTTTGAATGAATCCTTTCAAATACAAAAGAGTTGGCTTTTATAGATAACCAACCTAACTAACTAATCTACCCAACGGCTAAATATGAAACTAACAGTCTAACGGCTAACTAATACTAAGGCCTACATCACTTTTGGTCTGTATAAGATTATTTCAATTGAACTAAACATTTATAATACCGAACCAAGCCAATAAAGGTTATTTGGGGCCCGTTTGGCATTGTTTATGTTAATTGTTCATGTTTCTTGTTTCTCATTTCTCACTTTTAAGAAACATTTTCAAAATTGTGTAGAAATTTTGAAAACAACAAAATTAAGTTTCTTTTTTTCTTGTTGTCGTTTCAATTTTTTTCTAAAACATAAATAAAAGCATTATTTTATTATTGTTGACTTATAAAATGCATAATAAGAATTAAAAAATAAAATAAGGTAACAATTTCGAATATTTAATTAAAAAAAATTAATTTTCATATAAAAATTTACTTTTTTTAATATAAAATTTTAGAGTGGAAAAAACAAGAAAAGGTCACCAAACATGTTTTTATTTCTTTGTTCAATTAAAAAAAAAAGAACAAGAAACAAAAACAATTACCAAAAGACAATTCTTTTTTTTTTTTATCAGAAACATCAATGAAAGGAAAAGTATACTGCCTAAAGGACAGGGGATGAGAAAGCCCCCTCCTTACAAAAAAAAAAAAAAGAAAAAGAACTAATAGAACCGTTATCCAATCACAGGTGAGCATCATAAGACTGTAGTTACAAAAGAAACTTGCGGTTTAAGCACCAAGAAGAAGCAGTGATTTGTACAAAATTACAAAAAGAATAAGAAGAACGAGAAATGTTATATTTTCTTTTCTTTTTTTTTTAGCCCAAAGGAAAGAGTGTACAAAAAGTAGATGCCCAACCAGTGCAAATAGGTTAGACTTGAGGTAAAGAAGATAGAATTACACTAGTTACCTACAAGGTAAAAAAAGAAAATAACCCTACCAACTAAACAAAATAAAATTAAGACAATTACAAGTTTAACCCTAACAAATTCTACATGCAAGGGAACAATGCATTAAAATCATTTTTTATTTACAAAACACTCCTTGGTATCGGAGAATTAATCCAATCACCAGCCGAATTCTTCATGCAAGGAAGACTGAAAGCTTTTCTTTAACTTCCATATTGATGACACCATTATCTATTTTCTCACCAACCACATTAAAATCAGCCAATTAACAAGTTTATCCAGTCACATCACTCCTTTCTCAAAACTAGCCTTCTTAATACTTGCAGTCCAAAGGAAGTTGAAGAGGCTCCAAAAAGAACATTTTAGCAATTGCAAGCTGATGTAAAAAGAATGAAACTTCCTTGCAAGCGATGGACTAATTGAAATGCACTTTATATGCTATACAACTAAACTACCTAGACAGACTTCATTGGTAAGATACTCACCTAAAGACTGTCAAACTTCCATCCCTTGAAAGTGATGTTAAAGTTGTTACTTATTTTTGAAAGATTACTACTCATCTAAACAAATTTTGATTCAATAACACAAACAATTAAACATACTTTAATATTTTTTATTTAAAAAAAACATGTGCATCATAAATAAAGGGGAACATTAGAGAAACTTGATCACAAGTCCTAAAAGATGAAAATAAACATGACATGAATGTAAAAGAACGAGCAAAATGTACCTTGACAGATATCATGAGCACCATAATTGCTGCTTTTGTTTGATGAGTATGTTTCTTCTGACATATCTAGACAAATAAATATCCTATGTAAACTAATGCTTAAACAAGTTCATAATAGGAAAGATTTAGCAACCAGATACACATTCCTGAACAAATAACTGCTAGAAAATCATTTTAACATGAAATTATAACCCAATCTACATATTATAGAGATAGGATGTGATGTAACTAACTACTTTATTTAGTTGTTAATAAAGTAGTTCGGTTAGTTATAAGTTAGTTAGGTTCTGTTTTGTTAAGTTAGTTGTTTGTTAAAGGCTTCCTATGGCTGGTTGCTTACCGATTAAAATATGACGAATAATGTTCTTTGTTTTTTTTTTCTTTTTTAAGATAAGAAACCAAGCTTTCATTGAGAGAAATGAAAAGGATAGACAAAAACATACAAAAAGACAACCCAAGAAGAGGATACCGACTAAAGAAAAGGGCTCCAATCCAAAAGAATAACACCTAATTGGTAATTACAAAAAACCTTAGAGACCAACCCCCACAAGGATGTATTAAACCTAATGAGATCCCAAACAAGATCATCGGATCTCTACACCCTCTAAAAATTCTATTGTTTCTCTCTGGCCAAATACTTCACAAAATACCCAAGAAACAAGCATGCCACAAAAAAAAGCACCCCTATTTCAAAACAGAGGGAACAACAACACCTCTTTTAGCATCGCCCTACAATACCAATTGCGAGCCAAGGACACCACGAAGCACCCAAAGAAACGAACCCATAAATCTTGCACAAACTGATAGGACCATAGAATGTGATCTAGATCCTCCAAGGCTCCTCTGTATGTGGACCCAAAATAAAAGAAGAACACCTCTGAATATGATACAAAGTATTGACTTTCCCATGTGTAGAAAATCAAGCCGTAAATTAAGTTTTTTCCTTATTAGAATTTACATTATGTCTCTGTATATTCTGTAATTTTATTGTTTTCCTTATAGGTT